TGAAGGAACGTACCAACCTTTGATAGACAATCTCACATCCATCTATCCTAAATTCTCCATAATTAAAAAATAATAAAATAATGACTATAAAATAATTAATGCACAAAATCGTAATGCTTAAAACAAATTCTCAAATATAAAAGAAATACTAAATTATTTAGGGCTTAAGATAACCTATGATTAATTATGGCTCGACTCTCTTTCGTCTTCAACAGAGTCACCAAGCTGTCATAACATGCGGGTCTGGGAACCCTACCACTAAAAGTGGATGGTTTAAGGAATCACTACCAATCTTTTTTACGTAGGTACGATTGGCCGCCTATTAAATTTGTTCTATTCGATGAAATTCTAAATAGACTTTAGGTCCGTCTAAAGAACAACAAATTGGTCTACATATTTTATTTAGAGTTGGGTTAGGAGTACGATTACACACAGGGAAGGATTAGCATTCCCATGGCACTCGTTCCATGAACGATACCATTTAATCATATGTTATCCTAACTCATTGATTTTATTCTTAAGTTTCCTTAATTATTATTTATTTATTTTATCTTTTATTCTAATAATAAATTAAAATATTTTATTTGATTTTACGAGTGTGACGTGTGCATGATGTGATTATGAAATGCATGGCAAAAAAATGAGTAATGCCAAACAAAACCTTTTATTGAACATATTTCTTGAATCCGCCCATCACACTGATAAAATCCGAGAATATGCTCTCACTTAGGGAATTATCAGGGAAACTCGTCTTAACGAGTTTAACTAGTAAATCTCATCATTGAGGTAGTCGTTTGCAAGTAAAATCAATATTTTTTCATGAATACAAACCTAATACGAGCGGAAGCTTTTTATTAAGGATATTCTCCGAGGCCTCCCATCGTACTAGTGGGACTTGGAAGTATCCTTTCACCTAGGGAATTTTCGAAGAAACTCACTTCCACAATCTCCCTCGAAAAGTCCCATCATTGAGGCTTATACTTGTATACAAAATATGTCTATATGCCATGACATTTAATAATACAACAATGGTACCTGATGTACTCATAAATTCTAATATTTGTTTCTTGTCTTTAAAAATTTTATTATTTCTTCCTGTATGCATATATACCATGAACGAATATTTTATATTTACTTATTGTTCCTATATAACCATTTTTATTTTGTTATGTGTTTTGCTATGTGAACACTTATTTATCTTACTACATAAACTTCCCTAAAAATCATATTTTTAAACCAAATATTTTGTTTCATAGTTATTATCATTTATGCATATATTTTTTTTACCAAACTTTTTTCTCTTTCTTTATCAACCTAACTTATCTTCCTTTTGACTAACTATGGTTTTCTTCTACCTTCTTCTTCTTATTATTATTATTATTGATTTTATGTAGATATTTGTCTTTACATTTTAGCCATATTCACCACTACGGTGAATTTCATTATTTTTTGAAATTTTGATTTTTTGTTAGTTATTTATCATCATGAATCTCATTGTTTTATATAATCCTATATTCTTTTATATCTTCATGTATATATTTTATCCATCCCTTTTCTTGTATTTATTATTACTATTACCATATTTATGGTTATCATCATTTCCTTATTTCTTTTGTTTTTATATTTTAACTAATTGGTAATTAAGTATATATAATTTTTATTTATTTAAAATTGAGAACATCAGAATTTAAAATTAAGACCCTCTTATCGTACTGGTGAGGTCTTAATCAAAATCTTTAGCCTAAGAAAATTCATTTGAAATTGCGACTTCTTATGTTTGGAATGAACATTCCATCATCAATATGGATTCCAAGACACACATGATAGATTTACATTTAATAATTTCATAATAAGCCTCATTCCTTCATTTTATTTTATTTATACATATATATCTATATAAATATAAGCTTATATAATTAAATATTTCATTTCCATTCACATGCCTAACTTATCCTTTCATTTTATCCATCTTTTTATTTAACCCACTTTCACATAATTATCTATTTTAATATTATTTTCACCCCTTACATAGTCCTTCTCTTTCTTTTTTTACGATAAAATATAAATATAACTTTACGTTTTCATATATTTCTTTTCCTTTAGCTAAATTGATTTTTCATAACTAAATATTATCTTATTTACTTAGTTCTATATTTTTACTACTAAATGTTTATTTATTTCTCTCATATATTTTTATTTTTAATGTAGATCTACTGTTACCATTTTTGGATCAGACATTTTATTATTATTTATTTATTTATTCATTTTTTATATATTTTATATATATCTATATTCTATTTAACCTGCTCTAACTTTTTTTATCAAATAGCCATCTTTTTATTTGATGCCTTATATATTTTTATTTTTATTTGTCTACTTTAAAAACATCACATAACATATTTTTACCTAAACTAAATAAATTTCTAAACAACACCTTTGGGTTTGATAAGTGGGCAAGCCCCAACACACAACCTAGTAACAGATCAATGAACAAAAAAGGGAGAAAGCCTTAGCTTGCTGGGCTAGGGATGGCCTAGGACAGAGACCGCCTAAGACAGACGGTGAAGAGGAAGGCAAGCCTTCTGCACCAGCCCACTAAATCCCTTTCAAGACGCACCGTTTGGTGGTTCAAAGGCCCCCTCCAAGTGATGTCGTTTAGGCCTAAACTTACACTTCCCTCATCTCCCCAAAACGACGTGGTTTAATAAGCATTAAACGTTGGAATAAAAACTCTTTTTTTTTCCTCTTTCCCTCATTTCCCTTCTTCACTTTCTCTCTCTAACCTGCTATCCTCTCTCCCTTCTCTCTAAAATCTTCAAGTTCTTCATGATTACTTAACCTTTTTTGTTTTGTGGTTTAAGGTGTTTAGGGTGTTGTTCATAGAGGAATCATTAGGCATGGAGGTGAATATGATTTTATTTTTAAGACCATGTTATAGTGTTATTGGAAGGTGTCTGCTTAATTCCATCAAGAATAACTCCTATTATTTTGAATGCTATGGAGCCTCTTATATGGTTCTTTGGATATCAAATTACCAGGGCATTTATTCAAAATGGAAAATAGGACTATGTCATAGTGTTACATGTCATGCCTTAGTAGGCAATTATTGCTATACGTTATGCCTATATAATGTGTTATTCCACCTCATGCCTATATACCTCCAGGTGAGGCAGAAAATACTATTGACGGTGGAGACGATTACACCGGTGTTATGTTGTAAAAGCGATAGTTCTCGAACCTGAAATTACAACTTGGGGCTATGACCCTGCCTCCGGTCCTTCCAGTGCAACAGTCTGGCTGCTCTTCGATAATCTGGTCCAGACAATTCAAGCACTGTTGCTCAGATAAATCAGGAGTGCACTCCGTGAGTACAAACACTCTTGTGAAATCTGAAGCGACTGCATCGTTTACTGCAAACTTTCGAAGAGAGTCTCCTGCTGCAGCTTGCATCCGCGATGTATCCAACAATGTCCTCAGTGTGGCACTCAAGCTAGCAGGATCTGAGGCGTTGACTGGATTCCACAGCCACAAACGAGGCGAAGTTTCTATAACGCCAAAGATAGAGCGATTTGTGTAAAATACCATACACTCGTCATACCCCAAAATTGCCTCCTTCTGGTTGGGACAAACACTAGCTCGCAGATTGCTAGTGTCTGATATGCAAGAACGGCAAGTAGCTGGCTCAACGTCTCCTCGACAAAGCGCCCGTGCAAAAACATGGTCAGGGTTTTCACCGAAGGATGCATTGTAGAATCCATGGTCGTTTTCCGTGTCGGAGGAGAGGGAAGAGAGAACGCGGTTAAGATTGTCATGGTAAGGACTACCGGCGGAAAAGTTACCCCTTCTGTTTTCACAGTAAGAATAGCGCAGCTCTTTTTGGGCGATTGAAAGGGTAAGGAGGTGAACAAATATGGCAGAAAAGAAGATAGGAAGAGTTAAGGAAGCTATTGCCATCGTCTCAACCTACTCACGAAATCTTGAAATGAAAATGAATTGGCTTCAAGGATTATATAAGGTTCAAATTTTGTTTGGACAATTAAACCATGATAGCTGTTGAAATATTCTTCTTTACTTGTCAAACACATCATTCATCGACCAACCTTTTTGTTGAATTTTACCAATATGATTTCAATTTCGTTGATTTTTGAGCAAAAAAAGACATAATTTGCAATAAATTCTACCACTGTATTTTCAATTTCGTTGATTCTTAGATAAAAAAAATAACAAATTTAAAATATTTCTAGAAATACATATAGAAATGGTAAATTTCCATCAATTACAATGGAGTAATTACAAATGCAGAGATAATGGCCATCCTCGTCGCAGTGAAGGTGTTTGGTCAAATATAATGGAGTGGGGTGAATTTGATTGTGGAGTCGGATTTTGTGGTGGCTTTAAAATGAGTGACAGTTACGCCCTTGGAGGATGTGGGGAATATTCAATGAGACTGATTGCTTTAGGACAAAAATTCCCAATGTAGTGTTCGTGGATACATTGCGTGAAGCTAATTTTTTT